TGGCCATAGCATCCAAAATGATTGAGCAAATAGAGCAATGAATTGGCATGAAATTTTGTGTTAAGCTTGAACATTCCTCTGTGGAAACTATTTGGATGATTCAGAAGGCCACAGCTATGGGCAACCGGTGATTGGCAGCTTCATCACAACAACATGCCTGCTCATGCATCACGTCTCAAATAGAGCTTTTTAGTGGAACATTAAATCACCCAGGTGACTCAGACCCCCCACAGCCCAGATTTGGCACCCTGAGACTTCTGGCTTTTCTGCAAACTAAAATTACCTTTGAAAAGGAAAAGATTTCAGACCATCAATGAGATTCAGGAAAATCAATGAGCCAGCTAGCTGATGGCTGTTGGGAGAACTGCGTGAGGTCCCAAGATGACTACTTTGAAGGGGACTGAGGTATCATTGTCCTATGTACAAAGTTTCTTTTATCTTGTATCTTCTTCAGTAAATGTCTCTATTTTTCATAGTACATGGCTGGATACCTTCTGGACAGACCTCATATTCTGATTGACCATTAACCACTCATGCTACATAGTTACATATTTTTAATATTGCCCTTGTTCTTAGAGAACTTTAAGTAACATTTTGGTTTTCTTTAGCCATGTGACATCTGTGTGTAAATTGGACTAAGAGGGTACAGATCTCTTGTGTCTTATTCATGCCCAAGTATATGGCACTAGGGTAGTGGTATAAATGAAGCCATGTGATAAACCTTGTACATCTTTCTGATGCATAACTTTTACTCACTGTTGTCAATATCATATTAAAACAAACACAAATGTATTATGAAATAAAATGCAAAATTTACATGTGTCTTAAGAGAGAGGATATTTTTTTAAATTATGTCTTTGGTGGATTACCTTAGACTCTCATCTCTACCTCTATTATTGGCATTTCAGTAGAAAATTGTGAGAGGCACTGATTTAGGGTATTTGTCATTATGGAGTTGCTTTTACCACAGTTGTTCCCATAGTCCATCTCTGTTTTCTTTATCACCCTGGAGAACCAAAAGTGCAACTCCAGAGAAGGAAAGTAAGAATTTTTCTGCAGCATGTGTGCTCTTTTATCAAGTTTAATTTATAGCCAACTCAAAGGCTGACAATTTATATTTCAGCTTTTTTATGTGAAAATATTTTGGTTCACTAATTGCATTGAATGTAACTTCTTGCCCTGGCTGGCGTGGCTCAGTTGGTTGGAGCATTGTCCCACAAACTGAACATTATGGGTTCCAGTCCCAGTCAGGACACATACCTACCTATCTTGCAGGTTTGGTTCCTAGTTAGGGTGCATGGGAGAGGTAGCCAATTGATGTTTCTCTCTCACAGTGATGTTTCTCTCCCTGTCTCACCCTCCTTTCCCCTCTCTCTAAAATTAATAAGCATTTCCTCAGGTGAGGATTAAAAAAATCTTTATCACTTCTATGACTAACAATTTGTAGTCTTAATTTTTTCTTCCTAATTATTAGAAATCTATGTATTTAACAATATTCTCTTTGAAAGACCATTTTAAGAAAAGGTTAATCTGTTTATCTGGATATTGTGCACAATGCTCTCCATTTGCAAATAAAGAGGTGCATGTAAGTGTTGAATAGGAATTAGGATTATAAATTGCATAAGTTTTTCATTCTTTTGAGTAAGAGCATCATGGTATAGACTAATCAATTGTGTATGAAGTGAATTTCCAAAACATGTCATGTTTTCATGTGAAATATAAAGATCATATCTCAATAGATTTCTTTAAATGAGATCACTAGATAGTAATCCCAACAGTCTAAGAGTAGGAAGCACATTCTAAGTGCCCCAGATTCTTGTGACAGATCTCTACCTACCCAGCTATATGACTTTGGATGGATCACCATCTTCATTTCCTGGTCTGCATATGAGCAAGAGGTACTTAGGCCCCTTGCAGTTCTAAGATTCTAAAATTCTAAGCATATGTAAAAGGATATGTAACTGGTGCAGATTTCCTAAAATTTGCATGATAAATGTAAAAAATGGGGGACAAATAATTAAAAGTGCTTCTAGAAACACTACCAGATTGGAATTAGTGCTAAATACTGGTTTATTTAATTCAGCATTGCTGTAAAACTGGATCATAACTTCATAGTCAAAGAATATTAGGTCCTAACAACTTGTATCTTGTGTGCATATATACTATTTCTGCTTAAATTTCATATAATCATATTTCACCCTAACTTTTGCCTCCTTGAACAACCAAAAGGACAACAACAAATTTAAAAAGAAAAAATAACCAGAACTGCCAGAAAATCAAACTGTATGGAAGTCCGGCAACCAAGGAGTTAAAGAAGAAACATTTATTCAGACCAGTAGGAAAAGCAGGGAAGACACATGTCTAGGCAGCAGCTAGACAGCAGCTAGAGGACCAGGCGGGCAAGATGGCAACTTGTGGATCAGGCAGTCCCGTATTTGCATGCAGATAAACCAGAAGGAACAACTGGGGAGCGAGATAGACTGTTCAACCCAGGGTTTCGGTGTGGGAAAATAAAGCCTCAGAACCTCTGACTATAAAAATCTGTGGGGGTTGTAGCAGTGTTATAAACTACCAGCCTCATAGGAGAGTTCATTAGAGAGACCCACGGGGCCCTAAAATGTACTCAAACACACCTGCCTGGGAATCAGCACCAGAAGGGCCCAATTTGCTTGTGGGTAGTGGGGGAAGTGACTGAAAGCTGGAAGAGAGTCAGAGAGTCGAGCAAGCAACACTGTTCCCTCTCAGACCCCTCCCCCACCTACAGCACCACAACACAGTGATGTGGGTTGTCCTGCAAATTAGAGGAAAAGGTGAAGGCTATGCAAAGTGAAATAAAGAAAAATGTGCAGGGAACCATACAGGAAGGGAAAGAAAAGTGGACTCAAATCAATGATTTGGAGCAGGAGGAAGAAATAAACACTTGACCAGAACAGAATAAAGAAATAAGAATTCAAAAAAATGAGGAGAGGCTTAGGAACCTCTGGGACAACTTTATATGTTCCAACATCTAAATCATAGGGGTGCCAGAAGGAGAAGAGGAAGAGCAAGAAATTGGAAACCCATTGGAAAAAAGAATGAAGGAGAACTTCCCCAATCTGGCAAAGGAAATAGACTTTCAGGAAGTCCAGGAAACCCAGAGAGTCCCAAAGAAGTTGGACCCAAGGAAGCACACGCCAAGGCACATCATAATTACATTACCCAAGATTAAAGAGAGGGACAGAATCTTAAAAGCAGCAAGAAAAAGGTAGACAGTTACCTACAAAGGAGTTCCCATAAGACTATCAGCTGATTTCTCAAAAGAAACCTTGCAGGCAAGAAGGGGCTGGAAAGACGTATTCCAAGTCATGACAAGCAAGGATCTATATCCAAGATTACTCTATCCAGCAAAGCTATCATTTGGAATGGAAGGGCAGATAAAGTGCTTCCCAGATAAGGTCAAGTTAAAGGAGTTCATCATCACCAAGCCCTTATTATATGAAATGTTAAAGGGACTTATCTAAAAAAAGAAGGTGATCAAAAATATGAACAGTAAAATAACAATAAACTCACAGCTATCAGCAACTGAACCTAAAAAAGACAAAAACAAAAACAAAATAAGCAAACAACTAGAACAGGAACAGAATCACAGAAATGGAGATCACGTGGAGGGTTATCAGTAGGAAAGGGGAGTGGGGAGAATGGGGGAAAAGGTACAGGGAATAAGAAGCATAAATGGTAGGTACAATACAGACAGGAGGAAGTTAAGAATAGTGTAGGAAATGGAGAAGCCAAAGAACTGATATGTACAACCCATGGACATGAACTAAGGGAAGAAATGGAGGGGGGGAGGAATAAAAGGGAGAAAAAAATGGGAAAACTGTAATACCATAATCAATAAAATATATTTTACAAAAGTAAAAATAAAAATGAAATAAAATTCATCTAATTATGAATTTTCTTTGATACTCAAACAGTAATTCAATCTATATAAAAATTGATTATGGACAGACATTCTGCTAGGTACTAAAGAGATAAATATAAAACACATAGGTCCTCTTCTGCCCTCACACATTCACAAGACTCCATTCACAGAAGCCTGATCCGGGAACCTATGCTAGTAAGGTCCTTGAGTCAGATGACAGTGAAAAATATCATGGCACCTCCCCAGAGTATGTCTGAGAAAGAGTGGTTCTTTCTAGCTTCTTGCAGCCTGGTCATGTAGGTGAGCTACAAGAAAATCAATTGAATCTGTCATTTCTATTCATTTAGCCATTTCATGTATCTCTCTTCTATGAATGCATTACCAAGTAATATTTATATAAAACAAAGGATATTGAATGACAAGTATTTTAAATTTAAAACCATCATGGTGAGCATATCAATAGTATAATTTGTATCAATTGTTGACCTCCTATTAATGAATATATAAAGCACTACCAAAATCTGCCAATGGAAGAGTTATGTGTAAATTTATTTTTCTGATAAGTACATTATCTATAGCCATTTTGATATTGAGGGCTTCAAGAGTCTGTTTTTGGGCATTGTGCTCTTGCACAATCTAACAGGGAAGCAACTTTTGATGCTGCCATACTCTGAATGTCAAGATTTCTAGAGATTAGAAAAATTATACTAACTTGAAATATGCATGTTTTTAAAATATGGTACAACTGATAAACTCAAATGTAGTCTAACTTTAAATTCTGTAAGTTCTTTTAACTTACATGATTCAATTCTAATTGACAAGAGTATGTGGCAAAACATATTTCACATTTTTGCATTGTTCCCTGTGAGACATCTATTGTAAGAATTGCTGCAGGCTGTCGTTTTTGTCTGTCATCCAGGATTTGCTGGCCCATGTGTTGTGTACTGGACTTAGTGCTGGTCACGAGGAGGAGGGGAACTTGCAGTTGAGCCAGCCTGTTTTGTTATTGCTTTAGAATTAAAAGCATATGAAACAGATACAGCTTATTAAGGTTGTTTTTTATAAATAACATAAACTTAACAAAACAATAAAGTTCATATACAACTTAAAATAGAGTTTAATGCTATAACCACCGAAAAAGCATGATTATTTGTGGGGAAAACATTATTAAAAGCCATATTCCTGAATATGAATTATACAAAAGATAGATTATATTACTTGAATTTTAACTTTCAGGGATTATAAAATGTTATTTTGTGGCAAGTGAGATGAAGTACAGTATTATCATCATTATTGCTATTTATACACAAGATTTTTGAAAATACCCTTGTAGCAATACCCTTTCAATTTGAGCAGCATTACAAATTTTGTTCCTGTTAATAAGCACAAAAAAATGTTCTAATCATATACTTTTATACAACTACCTATTTGATTTAATTTCATAATAGAATTTTTGAGAGAATATTTCTTCTTTTCTGATCAGTGTTTGAATGAATTATGACTTTTTACTAGAAAGCATTTCAAATACTGCTCATCTTCCATAGTTAGCATTGGCTTGATTATCTGACAAGTCATTCCAGCAGCCTTCGGGTCTGACACATCTTATATAACATCATCTGCATTATTATTATTATAGCAGCCATTTAATAAGCAGATAGGAATATTTAAATAATCATCAGATAATCAAATCTAACATACTCTTAAGGGTAAATTAATTTAAGAAAAAACATTACTATTACTAACATCATGATTGTACAACCAGTTTTACAATTTTTTACAACTTTTAGTTACTAAATCTGATTTTTGTGTTTATTTTTCAAATCTTTCTTTAATGCAGTCTCTTAAAATAAACATAAATGCGCAAGTCCAGCTTGATCAGTTTTTCAGTAGTTTTCCAGCCTTTCTTGGTTATTTAAAAAAAAAAGAAAGAGAAAAGGAAAGGAAAGAAGAGAAGAAAAAAGAAAACAGTCCACTTAAAGAAATCTCCCTGCTGGAACTGGTTTCTTATATACCATATACAATTAGGTTATTGCCATAGGAAGAAAGTGAGCTGTTTTTTGTTCTTTCTTTGTTTTTCTCCCTCTTACAGGAACCCCCTTCTGATTTAAGGCAACAAACATTTCTCCTCCACTGTGTGTCCATTTAGCTGATGCATATGTGTTGTAATGGTTTTCCAGAATTAATTCTTTGAAGTTACAATCTTCATTGCATTCTTTCTGTTAAAACAACAAACAAATGACATTATCCAAATGATTTTTAGAGGGACTCAATTAAACAAAGAGGAAGCAGTAATATTTAGTAGAACTAAAACATATATGAGGTGGGTGTAATGAAGTTAATTAGATATAGGTTCGCATATTTGCAAAAATAAATGACATCTTAATGTTTTTTTTAGAAGATAAAATGATACACATTTGGTTATGCAACAGATTTCCAAACATGTGGCTTTTGGCAGTCAGTTGCTACTGTTCTTTAATATTAGGAGCTATTTCCCCTTAATTAGCAGCTCTCATGTTACTATGCCCAAGTCACTCAATCCCTGACCACTGAGACTTGGATATAATTAGCACAGCTTCTGCCTCCCTCAGCTCAAAGACGTATTTCACAACCATTCTTCATTTTCTACACTGTCTGCCAAACAGTGATGGAAAGTGATGGAAGTGATGGAAAGTGATGGAAAGTGATGGAAGTGATGGAAAATGAAAAGTTAATTTATTGGTTCATCCATCCAACTACTCATTCATTTCTTTGGTTAAACCTGTATTTTTATATAATTAGCTTGTGCCAGGTATTGTGCCTAACTGTGGGAATACAAAGGAAGATCAATTTTTTTTCCTGTGGGATGAACTGTTCCATATTTCACATTGTAATAAAGTGGGAACAGTGGGAATGCTTGCAGTTCAAAGTCCATGATTTTGAGATTAATGTTGATAAACACATTTTTGAATTTTTTCCCAAGAATTTTTATGTCAGCAATGTACAAATTGGGTAAACTTTAACATAAAGGGCTTTACTACTGATAGAGAGAAATTTTAGGTTTTAGATTTTAAGTATCTAAAATGCACATGGATTATTAGAACTGGAAGAATTTTTAGAGATTAGTTTTACTCAATTTACAGATGGAGAAACCAAAGTCCAGAGAGCTAAGCAATTTGTCCACTCATTCAAAAAACATTTTTCTTAATGCTTGAATATAAAATATTGTAATGAAATCATTAAATTATAAGATTAGAGAGAAATTAATTTCATTTTTACTCTTCAGAAAGGAAAGATGTTCTTGATAAACATGAGTTTGAAAAATTAAGGCTAAGCTATCAATTATTAATACCTTTGCATAGAGTTTCCCTTCCTTGTTCATTGCAAGAAAATATTCACTCTCCACCCCTTTGATTGCCACAATTCCAACCTCCACTGTCCTGATTTCCATGATATCTGCAAGGAATCACAGAAAGATATGTCAGTTATTCATTCAGCTTTGCAGGTTATACAAGAATGACCATTTGTCTTTATTTCTGTCTTATTAGTAAGTTGTTAAGATTATGAATATGATTATTTAATTAGCCCGAACCCCCTTTAACACATGCATACAAATGCCAGATTGCTAGTTCTTATTAAGTATGTGCAAACTACTGATTTTTTTATTTTGTGGAAATATGTATCTGGATTGAAATAAATAGTTACATATTTGAGCTTAGCTTTTTCTCCTCTAGAGTAACATTTCTTTTTTAAATTAATTAATTTATTTTTATTGTTGTTCAAATACATAGTCTCTATTCCTCCCCACCCCACCCATCCCTGCCTCCCACCCTTGATCCTACCCCCTTTGGCTTTGTACATTTCTAATTTATAAAAATAATAACAATAATAATAATAGCTAAAGTTTAGTGAACTCATACCACATGCTAAGAATTGTTCCAGTGCTTATGTGTTAACCCATCTACTTATCACCAAGACTATGGAGACATGTGCTCTTCTTATACCCAGTTTACAGATCAAGAAACTTAGGCATAGAGAAATTTAGTAATTTGCCCAAATTCTCCTAGCTGGTAAGTGGCAGAAGTAGTACTTGAACCCAGATGGCCTGTTTCTTAATCATTATGTAATACTATAACAGTATATAATAAGCTAACATCTTAACTTTTCTACTTAAAATTTGTCTTAAAAATTAGTGCTAACAGAATATCTCTTGAATATACTGAAATTGAATAAAGATCCAGTTAAAGCAATTGTAAATGATGGTAAACAGAGCCTAGCCTTCAAAAAAATTAATAGTCAGTTTTTTGATACATGAAAAGATAACTTAAAACCAAATTATGAATCCTCCTCATATGTTATTTTATAAATCTATACCTTTCCAATTGATTGTTTCATCTTTGTTGAAATTAGTTTTACAAAGCATGTATTATAGTTACCACGAGATTGTTAACCTATTATTTTTATTATATATCTTTTACATGTGTGCTATATTTTAGTGGCTCATACTAAATACAGTAAAACCTTAAGAAATTTTAAAAATTGATTTTGGAATTAAAAGTTTAGTGAACCTTTTTATGTAATTGCTGTTAATGATACTTTCAACATGAAGATGCAAACAAGGGACATTCCCTTTCCTGTGCCTTGCACAATACAAAGAAAATTCCAAGTGAATATTATCTGAACACATTGAGACTCCCAAAGCTGTATTCTAAGATATTCATTTAATTAAAGGAAAATCTGATGTTTTACTCCATGCCTCTACTTCATTCTCTTACTTATTCTTTCAATTCAGTTTTCCTGTTTGGAGGATAAAATTGTTACCCCCTTCACTGGGACTGATGCAGCCCAGTTAATATTTGTCATCTGCCACACACATGTGCTGTGTACAGAAGCCATTTTTCAGTCTCCCACACTTGGCCCTTGTCGGGGCTCCAGATGAGCATTCTGCAGCTGCTCATCTAGAATAAGGGTCTACAAAGAAAATGCAAAAAAAATCGATATTACTCTTTTTAAGTGTTCATGAAGCATTGTCAGAATGCATAGTACTATACTATAATTTTAGGGTACAAATTAAGAAAAATAGCCCTGGTTTCTGAATTCCAGAAGTTAAAAATCTAATATAAGCAGCAAACACATCTGTAAATATACCTTAAGTGAAAGAGAAAAAAATTGTTTTGGAAAACGGAGCCCTGAAGAGGAAGTTAAGGGAAATTCTAGCAATAGTTTGCAAGCATATGAAGGCTGTGGTGCTGATGCATTTGTGCAGCGTTTAGCAAATCCTCACTGTGAGCCGGTTCGGTGCCAGGTTGGTTCAGAGACAAACCAGCCCTCTTGGAGCACTCTGTCTGGTGACTGGCTCTTCTCTGTATTCATTGAAGGAATACCAATGGGAAATAATTTACTATGCCACAGAGTCTGATTAGGTTAAATGTGAACTAATATAATGAATCATACTGAAGAAATTCACTGATTTAACATACTCATATTTGCAATACCTTCAAAATTGAGTAAATACATCTATTTAAAGATGTATGAAACAGTTGGTTTCTAAAGATCTTACCAGTGTAAAATGATATGAAGTCAGTGTTTTCTTTATTTTCAAGTCCATTTACTCCTGCTTTTCCTCCCTTTATTCAATATTATATATTTTTCTTAGAAAAGTACTGATGAATAGGCTTAGGATGTCTTTCATACTCAGTTGTAACTAGGGAATGGAATCTGTAATGTTCGCTGACTTGTCTTTAATAGGCCAGCTGTCCGACAATATAACTTGATAGAGGCATTGCTAATTATGACATGTAGACATCTTCCCTTTCGGGTCCAGTAGTGACAGTATGTTCCTATTGTCCCATTTCCAAACCCCTGTGGTCTCTGTCCCCTGCCTGTCCATTGCTCATTTTATCTTTATTGCCCTCTGTCAAGTGTCACCACTTAGTAAGTAAGGAACATTGTTAATTGTACCCCTCCACATATTGGGATTCAGGCTACCAAAGAACTTCAGGTTTCTAACAACCCAGTTCAAAAGGGAGCTATCTGAACCAATAGCTTATCAAAATAGATACACAGATGGCAAATAAGCATATGAAAAGGTTCAATCTTTAAAGATTCTATCCTTACTTGGTATTACAATAGACTTGCAAATGATAAGGTTCCTGATTCAGGAATGTTCTTAATTGTTTGATGTATTTAAAAAATATCTTTCACTAGAAAATCAACAGATTTAAAAGTAGAATACCTGGAAGAGCATTAAGTAGTGTTGGCAGAGTCAATAACCCCTCAACCCTGACTTTCTAGTCTGTTTTCTCCTCTTTTATTCAAGAAAACCCCAGAATGAAAAAAATAAAGTTCAAGTACAGAATGGGGAAGTGATGTTCCTACACATCCGCAAAGACCTGCAGAATTCACTGTTTATGGTACCCTGCCCTCCAAACCAAAAGCCAGGCAGTCGCTCAGAAAATATAATATAAAAATATATAACATGCCAATATTAAGTTAGCTAATCAACCAAGCAAGTGAATTGTACCTGTTTTTTTTTTTGGTCTATTGTATATCCTTGCCTCGTAGGAGTCAAATATAAAACTTAGTCTTTTTGTTGGTCTGGATTCATATTTAAGAGAAGATTATGTGTATAAGGAACATAATAAATTTGTTTCCAAAGATGGAAGGCATATTGCATGGGTGCATCAATTTGTTAGTGACTGTGGTAGCATAATGATAAAGTTCAAAAAATAAATAGATAAAAGAAAAGGATCATCTCACATAACAGAACATGAAAAATGAGACAACATGTCAAGTACATTGGCCTTTAGCCTTGTTAACAATACTTTTGTTAACAATATTGTCAACCATAGTATCAATTCATTACTTAGTATGTCACCAGTACGAACTAGGAAAAATGCCCAAAATGACTTTCCTGAATTTTTTTCTGTAATTAATTTCTGTTGAAGTCATATGAGCTTACCTAAACCATTTTGCTTATTTGTTTTTTAAACCTGACTCATACTTGCAATGAGGAATGAGGAACCTTGGTATACCTCCCATGGAGGTTACTTTTTTAAAGAGCTACCCAGCATCTATTTCCAGAATTTAAGGTGTTTCCCTAATTTATTTCAAAAATTAATGCCAGTTCTTTGTTCTTATTACCAACATGATTTATGATTCTAAAGTGTTTTAATGTTCCTGATTTAAAATTTTTTATTTTATTAATAATTTTTATTTTAGTTCAGTTTTAGATTCGCAACAAAATTGAGGGAAAGTTACAGAGACCTCCCACACAACCCCTCCCCCCACACATGCACAGCTCCCCCATTGTCAGCATCCCTCACCAGAGGGTACATTTGTTACAACTGATGCACCTACACTGCCACATCACTATCACCCAGAGTCCATCATTTACATTATGGTTTACTGTTGGTGGTACACATTCTATTGATTTGTACATATACCTGTCATTATTGTATCATACAGAGTAATTTTATTGCCCTAAAAATCTTCAGTGCTCTGCCTTTTCATCCTTCTCTCCTCATACCCAACCCCTGGCAACCACTGATCTTTTACTGTTTTCATAGTTTGGCTTTTTCCAGAATGTTACATAGTTGGAAACATATAGTATGTAGTCTTTTTAGAATGACTTCTCTCACTTAGTCATATGTATTTAAGGTTCCTCCATGTCTTTTCATGAATTGATAGCAGAAAAAAATTTTCATATCTCATCACACAGAAGTCACCCCTACCCCAGTTCCTTGAATATTTCTTTTTCCTGAATCTTTTAAGCTTTATATTTAAAAGTTTGGAAGGGGTATATATTAACATATATGTGCTAGCATGATAACTAAAAATAATTTTTAAGTTGAAAATAAGTGGAGGCAACTGTTTAATGGTTATTAGGCCAACCGGAACATTGAAATTTGTCCTTAACCATTTTATTTTTTTTATTTTTTAAAGATTTTATTTATTTTTAGACAGAGGGGAAGGGAGGGAAAAAGGAAAAGAAACATCAATGTGTGGTTGCCTCTTGCATGACCCCTACTGGGGACCTGGCCAATAACCCAGGCATGTGCCCTGACTGGGAATCAAACCAGTGACCCTTTGGTTCACAGGCCAGCTCTCAATCCACTGAGCCATACCAGCTGGGGCTGTCCTTGACCATTTTAAATATACTTTTCTGGGCACACTAAGTAAGAATTGGTATCGACAAAGAAAGAAACCATTTTCAATATTAAATAACTTGTGACTTTCTCTCAAGCTTGGATTGTTGAATGGGAAATCTTAACCTTTATATATTTGTATTACATTTAAGGCTATAGATTCCATTTATTACTCTATTAAAGTATATACAAGAAAGTACAGCCAGTATGTCCAAAACAAAACTCTTAAAATTTAGCAATAAGAAAACAAGCAACCCAGTTCAAAAGTGGGCAAAAGATCGGAGCAGATGCTCCATGAAAGAAGATATA